GCTGCACTGGAACCTTTTACACTGCATGCTGAACATTTTTCCAAGGGGAACTTTGGGTGCATACAGAGCGTACTTCAGTGGTCCCCAGCTCAAAAACATAACAAGAAATAACCAAAACGTGTGAAAGAAGAGGACTCTACTACTCTTAGGCCAGTATAGAACGCGTGTGTGTGTGTGTGTGTGTGTGTGTGAGTTCGCGCACAAACATCAGCAGTGGGGGTGGGCAGAGAGGCAATCTGGCAGAAGGGAAGGAAGGTGTACTGCCCTAAATGCTTACTAAGAGTTAAAGAAGCTTTTCTCTTGTAAGATTGTTCTTCAGATTCAACTTTAGATCACCACAGACTTTGCCATTCAAACTAGCCAAACATTCCCAATATTAGGAAACCTAGAGTAAAGAAAAGTCATACCCAGTTGTTCTTTCTCTGAAATGCCAAATTTCCTTTGCTAGTGCTGTACCACAGTGCAGAGGAAAGCTAAGGGAACATAACAGCTGGAGTAAAAAAAAATACTTTTGCTGCTTGGAATACGGATCCCTAAACTGAACCACAATTGCAGCACTGGTTACTGTAGGACTTAACTATTCATATATGTTGATGTTTTCTTTCCTAACTCACTGGTCAAGGAAAAATGCTTACAGATAACCAAATATGTTCTTCACTGGTGTTTCATTACAAATCCTTTGAAAGAAAACATTTTAAAGTGTTACTTTAATCTATCAAAAATGGGTTTTAGTTCTCTCCAGGATACGACGGTATCTAGGAAGGCTTATAAAGTTCATGATACCAAGGGCTCAATTATTTCCAATGCATGGAGAGTAAAGATCCATGCTCCTTCATAGAGAAACTCTCATATATATATATATTTCTGTAAGAAATATAGGGGAAAAATCCTTGGAGTAATGTGATGAAACACACACATATGAAGACTTTCAGTATAGCTACATTTTTCTTTCAAGGAATCCTTCAAACTAGCTCATTAAACTGTAGAATTCTGTTGATCATTTCTGAGAGTACTACATTAGACTACACTATATACCAGATTAAAACTTTTTAATAGAATTTTAAAAGAAAAGATGAAAAGAGATTAAAGGATGAAGAAATGGAAAGGCACCTAAAACTTTGTAAAGGAATTCAAAATTTATTGAAGTATTTTAGTGTTATTAATACCTCACCTGTTTGCAATACCAATTCACAACAACCTTTTAAGCTTACCTGGAAGAAAAGGCTAGTCCCTCACTTGAACATTCCTGTTGCCGTCTACTCACCATCACCACACCTGCCCCCTATTAGACTCAAGGGCACATGAAGGATATCAGGCAAGAATCTATAAACTAACAGCATGGAATTCACCTACAGCTGCTCAAATTCTGGCGCCAATTTAGAAAAGCTGAGTGGTGCCAATCCAATAGACATTTTTTATTTAAGAAGAAAATTGTATAACTGGGACACCTATGTGTATCAAGGACATTGTTTCCTTCCTAATCTAAGAGCTGTGGATTGTGATCATGAAAAGAGCATGCGCTCTGACTGAGGGAAAGTTTTAGTGTTAGTCACAGAGAATGACGATTCCTAACGTTGAGATAATGGGCTTTTAAATAACTAATCAGCTATTTAGGAAGTATGTCTTATACATAATTATTTGGCAAAGATAAAGTATTAGATTTCTTAAGCCTTAAGACATTAAAGACAGTAACACCAAACTTTAAGGAAAAGAAAACAAGACAAAACCCCAACACTTTGCAACTTGATTTTCATACCCACTCTTTGTTTCTCATTAAATTATAATCTTATGGAAGGACAGGAGACATACCACACTGCTTGCCAACACGGAATTGCTTAGGAAGGCATTTATAAAGCAGTTATATCACACACGGTAGGTTTCTAGAGAAAATTACCCTTTGCGCAAAAACTACAGGACGATAATTAGAAAATCTTTCCATTGCATAGTCTGTCACTTGGTGGGTCAAATATAATTGCTATTTACTGTTGTGGATTGTTTACTAGCTACATAACCTACCCAGATGTGCAAATTGCTAAGCCATCCCCACCCCCAGGAAAAAATTAAGAATTTTAATTAAAACAATATTAACAATTATGTAGAGAGAGTAAAGGTAAGAAACCACATCTCTTCAGATGCTACCGATTACCAGAATGGAATTTAGATTCTCAGCGCATAGAATGTATCTGTTAACTGCAGCAACTTTGTAAATGAAATCACATTAACAGAATCTAACTGGCCTTTATAAATGGTCCCAAAGAACTGCAGAAACAGATTACGCCTTCTTTGCCACTATTCCTCATGCATCACTAGAGTAAAGGCTAGTTTTTACTTAATTAGGCCCTTTTATAAGATAGAAAATTAGTTTTTTAATCCAATATTATCTTATGATGGCATAAGTGTTCTTTTAAAAGATGTTCGTTTTCAGATTTCTGGAGTAAAAGACACTTCATTCCTCTCTTTACATATCAGTAACAAACCTACTACTCAGAATTGCTCCACCAGCTGGAAGAAAAACCGTAACAGACCTCTCTGGGCTCACAGATGTTCTTCTCTCTTCCAAAGTGGGACTCACAACAAACTGTAAAAGCAAAGCAAACTGCAAACTTGGCCACACTTGTTTTGAAGTAGAAAAATCGAGAGGACAAGTTTGTTTTTGCTAATTCCTCAACCCTAGACAGGTAATTTCTGAAGATGCCCGTTTTTCTGCTATCATCATGGGCACCTACACAAAACTGAATGAACTCCAAGTTTTTGGTGTGAAGCTGTAACTGGCAACATTCCTGATCATTGCATGCCTCCTTACTAGAAAGCAAAGAAGAGCTTTCATATGCACAGAAAACTGAAAACAATAAAATGTGCAACTTACTGCAAACTCAGTTTTGAAAACTGAAGACTTCTAAGCAACTAACATGGGGGACAAATAGTCAGAAAAATTAAAATCTGTTAGCCTGACATTCCCTGCACTATCAGAGACAGGCTGAGAAGTCAGTGTGCTGCTCTGGTACAGCCTTTAGTCAGTACACATGGAGAGAGGAAACCAAAGCCCAGGCTAAGGACAGTTACCTGGTGATGACAATACAAGCACTGCAAATTGCTCTGCAAACTAAAGGGCAATTTTGAACAGAGGTAACTATTCATAACCATCCCATTACAGTAAAATAGTAACGCTTACTAACAGGGGTCACAGGTGAGGATAATAGTTAAATGATCTGCTCTCACCAGGCAGAATAGAAATTTATGGTGATACCAAATATAATTTTGCTTTGTGACATAATTTATAATTTAGAAATTTCTCAATCTGCAAAGAAGGCAAAGCTACTAAAAATAAATCTTCCAATCGACTTTCATGATTTGAAAAAACAAAAAACAAAAAATTCAATAAATTACAAACATATTTTTGGCCCACTAAAAGAAACTTCAATAAATACAAAACAGGGCATATAATGATTTCACACAGTCACGTGACATTTCCCCTCCATAATCCCAGGCACGTGGTTATCTGCATAATGCCTGCTGATGACCATCTTTTCTTAAAAAGGCAAAGGAATAAAAGCTTTCAAAAGAAGGGGTTGGCTAGAACTAGCATGGCATAAAGACAATACATACAGGAAGTAAGAAAATACATCCCAGTCTTTACCTATCAGAAAGGAATCAAGCTGAAACATTCCCTGACAAATGAGTTCTTATACTACATCGTTATAAAGATATGTTGTCTCGACTCATCTTTTAAAATATATATGTGTAAATTAGAACTAGACTCAGGTATAAATAGCCAATGGTATTGGAAAGGACAGTAAAACTCCTCAGCAAAAGCAGAGGACAAGACACCTTTAAAACGAGTTCTACCTTCTGTGAGAGGGGAAAAAAAGGTAGGCAAGAAGAAATCTCACATCTTCATTTCAAAGTCATAACTTACTCAGCTACCCAGGATAATTTTTAATCCTAAAGTCCTAGTAATTTTTTAAAAATTCCCCCCCAAAATTTCCAAATTGACTGAAACCTAAATATTAAAAATTATTTTTTTAATGTACCAAAGGGTATGTAAAATGTATATGTCTAATTTCCATATTCTGCTTTGAAAGAAATTTTCAATTGTGTGTCCTTCAGATATTACACATCACTTCACAACTGATACATTGATTCTACATGTGTCTTCAACATTTTACAAATCTTATCAAAGACTCACTACTGTAAACATGAAAAATTCAAAAGAAAAGGATGGATCAAGGAGTTCACAGATTCCACCTTTCCAGACCTATCTGACTTTTCTGGGTTTTCATATCAAAATGCTCTCTTTTGAGTTACACCTTGCAAACGTACTTCATGAGAAGGACGTCATAATGAACCCACGTGGGAAAAGTCGGCATGACCGCAGGTTTCAGCATGGCTGCAGTCATGCCAGGCAATCTTTGCCTTACATTCCCATGTTACTGACACAAATTCAGCTTCTTGTGTTCCATTTCTCCTTGGGTTAACCTTCAGCAGAAAAGGGTCTCTATCAGGAAACTCAATGGGACAAGATGATCAACTTGACTCAGGCTGTGAGATGTAGGAAAGGAAAAAAGGAATAGCCTTACACTCATTAGGAAAAACAAACAAACAAACAACACGGCAAAAGGACAGCTTGCTTCTTGCCCTGCACAAAAACGCACGCGCAGGTACACATGTACACACAGGTAATCAACAAGACTGTTTTTTTCTTTTTAGTTAAACATGATCACAATTAGGAATGAAATCCTGGCCTCAATGTGGTGCTTTGCAGTTGGTGCTAAGTCAGAGCCGTCTTCTGCCTCGTACACCATTTGTTATCTCTTATACAGGAACGCAGTGAACAGAATCATTGTATCTAAAACCACTTATTTAAAAATCTGGCAATAGAATGGAAAACATCATCAATCTGAATACTAGGAAGTAGTAAAGGGCACTGGTAATCTGAGGTATCTTCCACTTCTAGGACTTGCTGCTAAAAACGGACTCTCTCCAGTCACTGTGCTGAACCACTAAGGACACCCTGGGGGTCGAGTGAACCTGCCAGGAGGGAATGAGCACCAGAGCAAAGGAGCACATGTGACCACTGACGCAAGGTCCACTGCAGGGCAACTTGCTGAACTGGGATAGCGGGTTCTCTCTAGGCCCCATCTGTGATTTAAAAATCTTCTTTAGGAAACGGGGCGAGGGGTGTTAAAGAGGAAACAAAGATAGAAAACACACGGTTCCCCCACCTGCCTGCCAACACCCAGACACGCTCACTTAGGGGAGGGAAAGGGAGAAGATGCATTATTGGTACTTGTAGCTGCGGCACCTGTTACTGTGAAGCCTGTAGGAGGGGCTATGGAGCTGTGGCTGGGCTGCAGGTCCTTAGGAATGCCACTGTGAGAACTCAGCTGGTGGCCAAAGGCTGCGCTGAACTGAGGGAGTTGCTGCTTCGGGGAGGTGGAGGCCATTAGTTCAGCAGAAGGCCCCATGCCACTGAAGCTGGTCTGTGGTAGCCCCGGAAGCCCACTGGAGCTGCTGGGGGTCACGGTGGCGAAGGCAGGCTGTGTGGTCTCTGAGTTCGAGGTGGTGGGTGGTGTGGATAGGGAAGTGGAAAGAAGATGTCCATCTGCGCCGAGAAGGTTGCTAAATGGTGAGGGATCTCCAAGGTTGACAGGGAGATTACCCCAGTGAGTTCTGGGGTTTACCACTCCTCCAAGTGGCACCTCAAGTTGGGTTGGAAGCAAGTGCTGCGCCATGATGGGCATCTCTGCTGAGAAGGTAGCTGCCATATTATCACCAGAGTAGGATGTCGTGTGGGGAGAGGTGATATGGTCACTGTAGGGAGACGGCACGTGCTCACTATCATAATGGCTTCCAGGGGGCGAGGAGTGTGCATGATCACTGCTGTATTGCTGTCGTGAGGTGATTAAGTCATCTGCCTTGCTCAGCAGCTGGGCAGGATGTGGCCTCTGAGAGGCATGGCTGCCATCATGAAGTCCATGAAACTGTCCTGGGAAGGCTCTCTCCCCAAGTGCACTCTGGCTGATCAGAGTGGCAGAAGTAAGGCCAACGTTGGCTGCGGCAGAGAACTGCCCCTGGATCTGCCCTGCCAGGGGTGTAGGGGGGTTAGACAAGGTAGCAGAACGGAGCAAGTTCTCGTCCAGCTCGAGACTAGAAAAATTATCATGTACTATACGCCCATTCAGTAGCTCCCCTAGGTCTGTGTTTACTTCTCGGCTCAAGGACTGAATTCCTGACGCTCCAGTACCTGTGGAGAACACTTCTATTCCTCTGTCTGACAACTCCTGGACTGGTACACCATCGGACTGGCTCAGTACCCCAATGGTACTCAGGCACTCGAGAGAAGTTACAGCCTGCAAGGCCCGCTCCAGCTCCTCAGCCTCTTCCGTAGTTGGGAGGAGGTCTCCATTCTTTCCTGGGTAAACAAACACAACAAAGAATCAGTACAGTTTTTCACCGATTCTACAGCACAAAAATCATACACTTCCATTTTTTTTCACCATAGACTACTGTTTGTAGCACATGTTTGAAGTGCCAAGCTGCCCTGGAATTTGAATTCCCATCTTCAGTGTGTTTACAATGATCACACACACACACAAAACTTATCAAAGTGCTAAATGCCTAAGAATTCCTAGGATTCCAATTTAAAACTCATGGTGACAAACTGATTACATTCAGGTTTTTACTGAAAATTAAAGTTATTAAAAATAGAAGAAATATCATTTCAGTTCAGATTTGAGACAAAAGGTTGTGAAGGAAAGAACCGTGCTTGGTTCTTCTGTTCCTTGCTTCTTCCAGCTGGAGGGGCGAGTGTGGAAGACTCAAAAAAAAAAGAATCGAACTCAAACTTAACCACACTGCCTTTGAGTGGTTTCCAACTCATAGTGATGCTGTACAGGGTTTCGGAGGCTGTACATCTTTACAGGAGCAGAAAGCCAACCTTGTCGTTAGCTGTCAAGTGCTCCTCCTATACTGGGAGCCCTAATGTGGACGACTAGAACATAGAAATCTACACAGAAATGCTAACACACTACACAAAGTACTCTGCTCATTCCATGGGTTCTCTTTCAAAAGTTTTTACTTTACTTTCTATAATCCTCCACTCTCACTCTTCTCCCACTTCTAATGTTCACAAAATGGAAGCCCACATATCTTCTCTGGATACCTTCCAATATAAAAATCATTTTTATGAACTTTATTTACTGCCACAAAAATATCCAGTTCTAAGAGTATGAAAGAGTCCCCCTAATGTCTCTGGGAAATTGGTGGCACTAAGCAAACTTTGTTTTGGAAAAGTATACTTCAATTGAAGAGGGTGGGTTATTAAAATTAGGACAAATTCAAAAAGTGATCAATACACTCAGGCTTAAAATTTCTTTGCTCAAAAATAAAACAAAGTAAAAGTATTTGGTTTTTTTTTTTTTTTAAGGTTTTTATTGTGGATTAAGTGAAAGTTTTCAGGGCACATCATCGGTTTCACATTCAAACATTCATATACCTTGTTTCATTACATTGATTATAATCCCCTCCACATACCATCAGTTAACAGAGTTTCTCTCTATCCTCTTTAGCTTTTTTTTTTTGGGAAAAACTTTGCCTTTTTGGAATTTACAGTCTTTTAGGGAAGGTTTTTACATTTATCTGTGGGTACAGTATTTGTTTTAAAGCATAGGTGTGAAACTATAAATCTACGAAGCCTACAATATGGTTAAACAATACATATCCGCACCTTGAGAAAAAGTAAAATATCTTTACAACAATGCTATTATTTTCTATCTGTAAAGAAAGACATTAAGGAGGAACACTTCAAACACATTTCAATGAAACTAAAGTCTCTTCTTAAAACAAATTTGTTTTAAAAATCAGCTTTCTTGAATCTAAATATTGACCATACCTTCAAAAAAATCAAAATCTTGTAAGTCGTCAGGCAGCCGTGGCAGGACGTCTGAGAAGTCCTCCTGGTTCAATTCCAAGTCATGTGGAATGTCAGTGATCTCATTGGCAATGTCATCCGGCAACTCATCAGCACTCAGCTCGGGCGTGGATGGGCTCCTGAGGAAGATGACATCTTTGGTCCCACTGTTCCCTTCACACTTCACACCAAAGGCACCAAGCTAGGGCCACTGAACATGAAGGGAAGCTAATACCATTTAGGCTTTTTATGTTTTTAGTATTTTTATGGGAAATACTAACACAAAGTTACTGCTCTTTTCCTACTTTGAAAGGAGAAAACAGGACCATAGGACCGTTACAGTCATCTATCTACAACCCTTAAGGATAGGAGAAGAACAGCATTTCTAGATCCTGTTTTTACTGATGCAAATTAGGGAACTAAACCAAATTTGTTACAGCAAATATGTTTGAACACTTTTTAGTAGAGTTTCAAATCTTGTCAAATTAATAAACAAACATAAAGCTGAACTGCTTAGTGGATTCAGAAGCCTCAGTCATCTGGCCAAGAATGCTTGCACCTATCTAAATTCATATTGTATCAGATTTCTGATAGAATATTCCTGTTGAAACATATACGAATTCTGGTTAGCATAGGAAAATCTGAGAATATACAATTAAATTCTCAATTTCAGCATTTACTCTTATTGTTATAATCAAAAACTTTATTTGAGATCTAACTCTGTTATAGACATTTGTTCAAAGGTGTATGAAAAAATGGAAAAGTCTAGACTGATGTACTATGAGGCTTCTGTAAGCCTCTCTCTTCCAGATGCAGCTGGATGTTTTCAGAACGACCACAAGAAGGACAGCAAGAGTACGCACTGCCCTATCACTCACCGGATCTGGGAGGGCTCCACTGGCAGTGAGACGCTGGTGGGCATGCTGAGGTTCCCTTGGGGCACTGCAGGGGGAATGGGTTTTTGGGGTCGACGAGGTCCACGCCTTCTCTTCTTCTTGTGTTTTTTGGTAAGTGCAGGAGGCTTGGTTTTTTTCCTGGGTTTCCTCTGCTGCTGGTGCTGAACTTTACGAGAGCTATCTCCTCTCAAGAAATTATCCTTTGGAATGAATAAATGGTATTTTTACATTGAGATTATTTGGGTAAAATTTTACACATCTAAAAATATACTTAGTATCTCTTAATATTCTATATAATGTGAAAACATTTTTAAATAATTAAAAATTTCATTTAATTCAAATTGATTCTGAATTCACCCCACATTTAAAAACATTGTAGTAAGTATTGCAGTGCTAAAAAATAAGAAAAATTGTAATTTTCACTCTCAAAGAACTTACCCTCTAATAGGTAAAACACAAATTCAAGTATACATAAACAAAGCACAGAGAAAAATGGGCAATAATGATATAAAAACCTCCAACATGTGCAGAAAAGGAAAAAAAAATTTTTAATTTTGTGAGATTGAAGGATAGGTAGGATTTTAAAGTGGTTTTAAGTGACAAGGTCATTTTAGACTAAAGGAAATGGTACAAAATGAACAAAAGTAAATATTATTGGAAATTAGACATAAAAGTAGGACATAAACTTGGGACCAGAACATGTGTGACTTTGAACACCTGCTAAGGTTTTGTACTTTTTTTTTTAGCAACAGGGAGTCATTTTTGATGAGAGGAGTATCATATGTTTTAAGAGGATAACCACCTGGCAGTAACAGAAGAGGCGCGTGAATGGGCACAATAAGTCTAACTGTATTGCTACTACAACAGTCTATAAAATACAATAATGGCCAAGGGCAATTGGAGCATGCATGGAAAAATAAGTGCCTCTCAACATAGACTCCTCAGGATTTGATGGCGTATTGGGTGTGGAGAACATAAAGGGAATGCAAAACTTCTGAATGACTCTAGGGTTTAGTACCATGATTGCTAAATTATGATACGATGAATTGCGACACAGAGTTCAGCATACATTTTTCTCAAAATATACATATGGTTCATTAAAAAACCCAAAAACCTAGAAAAACAGAGGTGTTTTTGGTGGAGAACAATCTGGTGAACTACAGACAAAGAAATGGGGTATTGGAAAGTGAAACCCTTCATGTGTAGTTTTACACTTGTTAGCTGCTGCAGTTCATTAAGTCAACTCCAACTCTGGTGACCCCGTGTGAAACAGAGCACAGATGCTCCATAGGGTCTTTGGTTGTTGTTATTGTGTTGTGTTATTTTTTTTTTTTTTTAAGTTTTTATTGTGATTTGCAGATCATCAGTTTTACATTCAGCAAATCATATACTTAATGTTTCATTACAATGATTATAATCACCTCCATGTACCATCAGTTAACAGTATTTCTTTCTATTCATTTTAGCTTTTTTCAAAACACTCAGGCATATATAATAATTTACACCACCAAAGGGTACATTCTGCAAGCCTGCCTCCTAGCCGACAGCTCTCAGTCCCTCTTTTTCCGTGAATCTAGAGTCCTCAACTGTTCCCTCTCTCCATGTCCCCATCTCTGCCTCTATGTCTGGTGTCACTGCTCTCTGGATAGGGTCTCACATTCTGCTTGTGCTCTCTCCCTTGATGGTCCTAGGGTCCTCCGTTTCTAGACTGTAAGATTAACTACTTCCCCGTTTTTGTTACAAAACTTCTACCTTTACAATTGTGACAGTCACAATTAGTCATGTTAACAATTACTCATTATTGAATCATAAGAATCTTATCCCCATCTCTTTTCACCAACCCATCTAGACAAGATGGGGACTCTTATCTTTCTCTGTACACTCTTAAACAAAACTCCCTCTTGAAAATGTGAAAGCCAGTCACTTCTTGCCTTTACCGCCCCCTCATTTTAGGTAGCCAATGTCTAAGTTGCCCATCCCTATCTACCACGTATATAGAAGTTGTTGTTGTTGGGTGCCATTGAGTCAATACAACAAACTCATAGTGACCTTATGCACAGCAGAACAAAACACTGCCCAATCCTGGGACAATCTCACTACTGTTGCCATGCTTGAGTCCATCGATTCTGCCACTTGGCCAATCCATCTTGCTGGGGGTCTTCCTCTTTTTCTCTGACCCCCACCTTACCAAACATGATTATCTTTCTCCAGAGACTGCTCCCTCCTGACAATATATCCAAAGTTTAAGAAACGAAGTTTGGCCATCTTGGCCTCCAAGGAGCACTCTGGCTGCACTTCTTCCAAAACTAATCTATTGGTTCTTTTGGCAGCCCATGGCACTTTCAATATTCTCCTCCAACACCGTAACTCAAAAGCATCAGTTCTTCTACGGTCTTCCTTATTCACTGTCCAGCTTTCTCATGCATATGAGGTTATTGAAAATACCATGGCTCGGGTCAGGTGCACCTTAGTCCTCATGCTGATATCTTTGCTCTTCAACACTTTAAAAAGGTTAACTAAAAGAGGAAAGGTGAAGACTCCTTTCCTCTCAGTTGGTATTTTGAACTACTACATCCATTAGTATAGGTCAAATTTATTAAATTGTAACAATTTAACCTCATTTCCTTTATCAAAAATTATTTGTTCTTTTTTTATCTTCCTGTAGTTGAATTATGATTATCAAGCCATCGAGGCTACGTCAAATGGGTACTATCTGCAAGTCTGGGAGTTCTTGTGCATTTCCCCTCACTTCACATCAGCTGGATGCTTCACTCTCAGCTCTAGCCCTCTGTGGCTATGTCCTTGTCTATGGGTTCAGGAGTCCCCAGGTCTCATCACATTTCGGACCAACCAGACCTTCCTCTTCTCTTTCTCATCTCCAGGACAATGGGAATCTATGGCACATGGTTAAACTCAGCCCATTTCTTCAATGCTGCTTTCCCCCTTCTTCCACTCACCAGTACACCAATGTGGTCATCAGCAAGCTTACATGCCTGCTCATGTGTTCCCTTTGGGTTTCAGTCTTAGAGGGGGGTTTGTCCTGAAGCAAGTTGATTGCTTGACTTGATGGCTTCCTGGCCATCAAGCTTGCTTATTCTTGTAGTAGCCAATCATACTGCCATTTTTGTTTTGGGTTTTTCCTGCTGATCTTTCTTTGAAGATGTATATTCTGTTGCTCTAGCTGTTCCAGGCTGGTCTGCTTGTCCTTTCTAGTGGGAATTGTCCCACCTCAGAAGGTTCTGGATGGGGCTCAAGATTCCACCTAAGGTCCTATCCACTGTAAAGGCTCTACATGAGGCCTATTTCACTAGGCAAGTTCCAAAACCCCTTTTAGGTATTCTTCAGTTATAGGCTAAAGACAGGCTTAGAAGCTTTCTGTAAACATGTTTCCTGACATTTCCCTCTATCCCACTCAAATGTCTATTTTACAATAGTAGGCAAAGGAAACCAATATCCATAAGACATTTAAGCATGTTAGTATTATTTTCCCTTCTTTAAACTATGCCTCAAATCCTGTATCACAGAGCCCTGTTGTTTCAAGGTTGAGCATGCATCACTATTTATCTCCGTCCCATTTAGCCCATGAAAACCTATCTCAGTGTTCCTCTATCTACCTTGTTCTTCCAGCCCCTTCCATATGGTCTTTTCAGCTGTAATCTTAATAGAAGCAGATTCCAAGGTCTTTCTTTCTGCAGTACTGCTGTGTAGATTTGAACCTCCAACTCTTAGATTAGGGGTTGAATGCAAACTACTTGATCCACCTGGGCATCTTAGTTTTATACTTAGCCTTAAAGCCAGGATCAAAACCTTAAGCTGTTAAGTCTCAGTTCAAGGACCATTCAGTTCCCCAATTTACCCAGTGAAAACCATCAAAGGCTTACAGAAGGCAAGAACTATCCTACTCAACTTTTTAGTACCAAAAAGACCTGTACAATATCTTGCAAATAGGTGAAAATTCAGTAAGTATTTGATGGATAAAAACAATAAAAGCGCATTTATTTAAGATGTTTATATAATTTAGATATTTCAGAAATTCAGACTTGTCTCTCCTCCAAATTATTTTTGAATAAATTAGGGCTTATGATAGTAACATTAACTAAAGCAAAAATTAAACCGATTTTAGAAACGTGTGGCATTTGGACAAAACTTCATCAAATATCTAAGACATTCTCAGACAAAAGTTAAAACCTAGAGAGATGGGGACAAAAACAAAGCCTTGAAAAATCTGTTACATATATGATAATCTTGTCTTTTGTAAACCTTCATTCAGTGTACAATAAAAAGTTTAAAAAAAAAGTTATGTATAAAAAAAAGTATCTTAAACAACAAAAAAAGAAAATTTATCTTAAATGGAAGAGAGGTGCAGAAGAGAGATAAGTAATGAACAAGACGGTGACATCTAACTACTCAACATCTTCTAGAAGAATGATTTTTGAAAAATGAGGGTCTGAAATTAATTTGGTAGGTAATGATCAGCATTTATTATTTAAGTGAAATGAAACGCACACAAAAATGTCAAGTAATCATTGTAAATAAGTCTTACTCCATAAACCTTTTGCTTCAGTGATTTATATACGTATGTTCTTTGTATTAGTCACAGAGTATTTACTATTGTGGGTAAATATCACAAGTTTGAAATAAAATCTAAACTTACCATTTTTTTGGCATGTTCTTCACACAGAGGTGTCTGGTGTGTAATGTCAAAAACTGGCACAGAGCACTGCTGTCCATCTGCAAACTTGGCCGTGCAACTTGAGAAGAGCTGCTGAGAGCGGTTCAAGAGGATATCTGGATTTTTTAAAAATTAAGAATAGAATACACTGAGGCTACAGCCAGGAGGGTGAGATAGGGAAAGCTTTGGTGAGAAGGGAGGGGGATCTCATGAAGGAAATGTTCATATAGACTCACAGCTTTTGAACTATCATAAGATCTAGTATTTTGGTCGTTCCGGCGACTGCAGAGTTTAGAGGGTAGGACTAAGGCCAGCCCGTTCGGAAAGCGGCTTTTCCAGGAGGAAGAAAAAAAAATGAGGGGGGGGGGACCCCCAAAAATCTCCCTGACCTGGCTTAAGATCTCAGCAAGATCATCAGACAGGTCAGTTTACCCACGGCACAGAAAGAGGGAGAGAGGTGATAACTTTTGATGTCATCCGACATCCGCTGTCCCCAATCTGAAGCCCTGCATCTAAGCCACCCTGCCCCCATTCCCAGGTAGCAGCGGGGATCTTCCAGCTACTGTTTTGGCAAGACAGGGTATAGATAAAGTTAACCAAAGCTGCATCTCTGCTCCAAAGTGGTGATTTCTGTCCATGCGTTTATATTACTTCTGCTTTTGCTACTTTTGATCATACATTTTTCCTGGAGGTGAGCGCTTTTCCTCCCTACATCACCTAAGAAGAAGCAGCAATCGTGGCCATATAGCCAAGCTATAAGCATACAACATAATACCCCACTACTAAGACAAGACCCAACAACACCTGCTAAGTATTACAGACAATAAGGGAAGCCCAACTCCCGATCATATTAATAATAATAACAATAAAATAATAACCATGATCAATAAGAAACAATCAACTTTATCGAAAAACGTCCAGAAACAGAAGAGAGCAGCTGACACAAATGAGCTAGAGACAGACAAAGGCTTTATAGAGGAGGAGGAGCAGGTTCTGGATATGCCTGAGAGGAAATTCAGAAGAATGATATGGAAACAAATTCAAATACTCCGAAAAGGAGTCAAGGAAAATAAGGAATAAGTAAGGAAAGTATTGCAGGAACAATCAAATAGGATTGACACAGCATTGGAAACAATTCAAAACATGCAAAAAGATGTGCAGGTGATTAATAATAAGATATCAGAAACAGACAATAGGCTGAAAGGGGAAAGGAGCAGAATAGAAGAGATGCAAGCCAGAACTAGCGAACTGGAAGACAAATCTCTCAACACTGCCAAGATAGAAGAGCAAGAAGCTAAAAGGATAAAACAATCTGAAGACAGTCTAAGATTCATGCTGGTTAACATGAAGAGGAATGATGTACGAATCATTGACATTCCGGAACAAGAAGAGGCAGAGAAGTCCAAAGAGGAGATAGTTGAAGAGCTTCTGGAAGAAAATTTCCCTAACATCTTGAAAGATGAGAAGATAAACATTCAAGAAGCCCAATGTACCCCAGGAAGGATAGATCCCAAAAGAAAGTCTCCAAGACATATAATAATCAAGCTCTCCAAAATCAAAGACAAGGAAAGAATACTAAAAGCGGCCAGGAGAGAAGAGAAATATAACTTATAAAGGCAAGCAAATTAGATTAAACTCTGACTATTCAGAACAAACCATGCAGGCGAGAAGGCAATGGGGAGACATATACAAAGCCCTGCAAGAAAAAAACTGTCAACCAAAAATCGTTTATCCAGCAAAACTATCAATCAAATATGATGGTGCGATCAAAACATTCCAGGATGAACAGAATCTGAGAGATTTTATCAAAACCAAACCAGTACTTCAAAATATCCTAAAGGGAGTTCTCTGTACAGAGAAACAACAAAAACAGACAACAAACAGAGTATGGCAACACCACTTGGAACACAGCCAACAGATAGATGAGAACAGAACAGAACGAGACTACAACAACAAACTCAAAGGAACAGGGAGATCAATTGAAGGCCAAAAACATATCAATATCAAAGAAGGGACAAACACAGCAACGGAAGCCTAGGTGGTAGGGATGCCAGGTAAATTGCAGGTTATAATGGAGTATCCTAAATGCAGAGAAAAGTTAGTAGATTGCAAGGTAACCCCAAAGAAAGTTAACACTCCACAACATATCATAAAAACGAATTCCTAAGCAGAACAAGCGAACAGAGAAACTAGGAAGAAACCGACCAGAGACAATTCAAAGAACATAAAGCCAACACAAGAAAGAAAGCAGAACCAACAAATGAACAGCACTGACAAAAATGTAACATAATGACAGCAATCAATTCATACTGATTGATAATTACATTGAATGTCAATGGATTGAATGCACCAGTGAAGAGACAAAGAGTGGCAGAATGGATAAGAAAATAAGATCCATCAATATGCTGCCTGCAAGAGACACACCTTACACACAAAGACAAAAACAGACTAAAAGTTAAAGGATGGAAAAAAATTTACCAAGCCGACAGCAGCAATAAACAAGCAGGAGTAGCAATACTAATCTCCGACAAAGCAGACTTTAAGATAAAATCCAGCATAAGAGACAAAGAAGGACACTATTCAATGATCAAAGGGTCAGTCGAGCAAGACGACATAACCATAATATACGCTCCCAACGAAAGATCACTAAGATACATGAAGCAAACCTTAATGGAATTGAAGAAAGAAAGAAATAAATCCACAATCTCGAAAAGGGATAGAACAACCAGAAAGAAACTCGACAATGCTACAGAGGAACTCAACAACACAATCAACCAACTTGACCTCATAGATGTATACAGATCATTCTATCCAACACGGGCACAATATACATTCTTCTCCAGTGTGCATGGAACATTTTCCAGAATTGACCACATGGTAGGTCACAAAGCAAGCCTCCATAAATTCACAACCATCAAAATTCTACAGAGCATCTTCTCAGACCACAATGCTATAAAACTAGAAATCAGACATAAGAAGGTCAAAACAATAAAGTCGAATACATGGAAACTGAACAACATCCTGCTGAAAAGCAACTGGGTAAAAGAAGAAATTAAAAGTGAATTCACAAAGTTCCTAGAAACAAACGAGAATGAAAACACAACAT